CCCTGCCGGCCGGTGTCGGGAGCAGCCGCCAGGCGCCGGCTTTGGCGTGCGCAGATGCAGGAATGGGTGCCGGAGCCTCGGGTCGGTGCTCAGCCGGCCTGCGGGGACTCCCTGGGGCCGGGAGAGGGCGCTCGGTCCTCGGCAGGCACATCTCGTGCCTATCCTGGGCGCGGGCACACCCTCGAATCGCCCACCCGGGACCATGCGGAGCGCGTGTGGATGCGTGCACGAATGGGCGCGTGGATTCTTCCAAGTTAGCAGCACTGAGCTCCCAGGCTTGCAGCTCCCCCGTGGCCCCGTCTCACGTTTCTGGAGCAGAGACCGAAAGGCGCGCAACTAGTCTAGCAGAACCAAAGCACACCGCTCTGGACCGCACACCAGTCTCCTCAGTCCCTGCCGCCACCGAGTTACTTACTCCTCTGCCCGCCATCCACTCCCAAAGGCCTACTGAGAGCGAGAGCGCCAGGGGTTCCCAAAGGGACCCGAAGCCATCCCAGCATTGTTTGTTCCGTCTCATTTTAAATATGCACAACATCAATCCGTTATAGTTAGGTGCCTTCCAGTCAGTTCTGACCCATAACGCCCCCATGACAACAGAACAAAACACTGCACCGTTCTGAGCCATCGTCGTCATTGTTTCCATGCCCGAGTCCATTGATACAGCCACGGTGCCCATCCAGCTCCTTGAAGGCCAACCTCTTTCTCACTGCCCTACCACTTTACCAAGCATGATGTCCTTCTCCAGGGACTGGTGTTTCCTGACAACATGTCCAAAGTCTGTAAGACCAAAATCTTGACATCCTTGCCTCTAAGGCGCATTCACCCTGTACTTCTTCCAGGACAGATCAGTTTGTCCTTTCAGCAGTCCGTGGTACTTTCAAGAGTCTTCTCCAGCCCCACAAGTGAAATGCATCGGCTCTTCTTCAGTCTTCCGTATTCAGTCTACAACGTTCATAGGCATATGATGCAATGGAGAATACCATGGTTTAGGTCAGGCTCAGAGTAATATCTTTGCTCCTCATGGTTCTAAAGAGGTCTTGTGCAGCAGATTTACCCAAAGCAATACCTCTTTTGATCTCTTGACTGCTGCTTCCATGAACATCAATTGTGGATCCAAGCAAGACAAAATCCTTGCCAACTTCAACCTTTTCTCCATCATCATGATGTTACCTATTGGTCCAGATGTGAGGATTTCGGTCTTCTTTACATTGAGCTGGAATCCATACTGAAGGCTACAATCCTTGATCTTCATCGGCATGTGCTTCAAGTCCTCCTCACCGTCATCTGCCTAGCTCAGGTTGTTAATTAGGCTTCCTTCCATCCTGATGCCACACTCTACTCCATAGAATCCGGCTTCTCTGATGAGTTGCTCAGCATACCCATTGAACAAGTATGGCGAGAGGATACAACCTTGACACGTGCTTTTCCTGATTTTAAGCCATGCAGTATTCCTTTGTTCTGTTTGCACCGTTGCCTCTCGATCCATGTACAAGTTCTGCATGAGCACAGTGAAGGGAGTTGGAATGTCCAGTCTTCTCAAGGTTATCCACAGTTTAGTATGGTCCACACAGTCAGCTGCCTTTGCATAGTCAATCAAACACAAGTAGACATCTCTCCGGCATTCTGTGCTTCATGTTCTGACATCAGCAACGATACCTCTTGTTCTGAATCCGGCGTAAACTTCTGGCAGCTCCCTGTCAATGGAGTGCTGCAACCCTTGTTAGATGATCTTCATCAAAATGTTGTTTGTGTGTGACCTCAATGATAACATTCTATAGTTTGAGCACAGAAGACTTCGAAGTTAGGTTTCTGAGTTCTTCCAATGGGCTCTTCTTTTTAAAGGGTTCTTTAAATATTACAGGACCTTGACCTCACCATTAAAATTGTTGAATCAGCTTGGTAATTTCACCACAAAAAGCTTTATGGGATTTTGATTTGGAGTGTATGAAGTCTATTTTATGGCGGATTGACATCTTAACAGCCCACATGTGCGATAGATCCCTCCATTTCTTTGGAGTCTTCTTGGCAATGTTTTGTCTGTTTCATGCAGCTATCTTGCCTATCATTTGTGAGTTCTTGCATGTGATTGTCAATGGAGTTTTAAACAGTTCATTTTCTGTTTACTGTAGTATGTAAAAGAGTTGATTTTTGAAAATGAAATCATCTCCTGCAACCTTGGCAATTTCACTCTCGTTCTACTAACTGTTTTGTTGATTCATTAAAGGTTTTCTAGGTAACCAGGGCATCTGCAAATGTAGACCATTCTACCTTTTTCCCACTACTGTTAACAACATTTCCTTACTACAAGGGTCAAGGCTTTTAATAAATAGATGGGTGAATATGGATGGATATACTTGTCTTGTGATCTTAGTAGATTAAATATGATGCTAATTACAGTTTCTTTATCAAGTTGAGGAGGTTTCCTTTCTTCTTGTTTGTAGTTTTCTGCCCTTTCTTTTGTGGTTGTTGTTGCTTTCTAAATCATTAATGGGTGCAAATGTGGTCCAATATTTTATCTACATCTATTGCAATGATCACATGTGGTTTTCTGCTAGTACTAGAGGGAGTTTTATCGATGGATTTTCTAATGTTAAACTAACCTTGCTTTTGAGTTGAATCCCATAAACTCCACCTGGGACTTCCATTTTGGTATGACTTTCTTCTCTTTTTTTGGCGGGGGGTGGGGGGCGCTTTGCTTTGTGAGTGGGGGTGTGGGGTTTGGGGGTGGCTTCTTAAGCTAGGAGCCCTGTCGGTGTCGTGGGTTACCTGTTGAGCTGCTAGAGTCAAGATCAGCAGGAGAAAGGTGAGGCGTTCTCCTCCTGAAGAAGCTGCAGTCTTGGAAACGCACAGGAGCAGTTCTACTCTGCCACTATGGGTCGCTGCCGATTCAGTGGCAGTGAGGTTTGGAAGGTTAGATCATTGATTTTAGATCTTTCTCCTTTTACACAGGAAAACATTTTAAAGTAATACATTTCCCTGCTAGCTGCTCCCCACAAATTTTAATATGCTATATTTTCACATCAACTCAAAACATTTTCTAATCTTTTTTCTTCTTTGACACACTTAGAGGTGTGATGCTTAATTTCCAAGTGTCTGGCTCTTATACCTGTGCATATTATGATTTCTAATGTATTTCCAATGTTGTCAGAGCACCAAACTCATCTTCACTCCTTATAAATTATTATCTCATTTCTTATAAATTTATTAAGAGTTACTCTATGGTCCAGCATATAGTCTACCTTCGTCGATGGACCAGATGCCCTTAAAAAGAATGCATACTGTTGGGGGCTGTGTTCTATAAATTTAAATTAGGTCAAGGTAAGTGAAAGAGTTATCCATTTCATTAAACGTCTTTGCTGACCTTTGTTTGTTTAGTCTACCGATCAGTGAGAGAGGAACATTCAAATCAACTATGATTCTAGAATCATCGTGTTTCATGTACGTTGAAGCTATGTCATTAAGAAAATACTTATGCTGATTTTGAACCAGGCAGTATTCATTCCCTTGTTCTGTTCGCACAACTGCCTCTTAATCCATGTACAAGTTCCAAATGAGAATAATGAGTGTTCCAGAATTCCCATTCTTCTCAAGTTTATTTATCCACAGATTATGGGCTTCACAGTCGAGCACCTTTGCATAGTCAATGAAACACAAGTCAATGACCAAGGAAGCAGCAGCCAAGAAATCAAACAACACATTACATACATCGGGCAAATGTGTTGCAGGCAGATCTCTTGAAAATGAGGAAAAGTGAAGATGTCATTTTGAGAACAAAGGCGAACCTAACCCAAATCACAAGAGTTTCTCTCGCCTCATACGCACGTGACAGCTGGGTAATTAATAGAGATGACTGAGACGAACTGATGTTTGCATTGTTGGTCTTAGCAACGATTATTGACTATAGAATGGATGGCCAGAACGAACACATGTACACTGAAAGAAGGACAGCCCCTATGCTCCTTAAAAGCAAGAGTTCATCGCGTGTACTTTGGAGAGGCCACCAGGAGACACTAGTCGCTGGAGAAGAATGCCGGGCCTGGTTAAATAGAGGGTCAGTAAAAAGGAGGAAGACTATCCAGGAGATGGATTGACACAGTGGTTGCCAACAGTGAGCTCAAACATCGCCTGAGTGGTGAGGATGGTGCCGGACCAAGTGGTATTTGTTGTCGATTGGGTTGCTATAGTTGGAACCAATATGGGGGTACCTAACAATAGCAATGGCATACATCATTAAATGCCCCATTGTATCTCTGGTAATACTCTTCCCCTGGATACCTACTTACCTGACATTCCTCTGGTCACTGACGGTGCCATCTTTTGCTTAGGGCAATGAATGAAGAAGACTGGAGAAGAACCCAGGCACTTGAGTTATGGTGCTGGTGAGGAATATTGGCAGTACAGTGGACTGCCAAAAGAACACACCAATCTCTCAGAAGTTCAACCAGGACGCTCCTTAGAAGTGAAGGATGAGGAGACTTCATCTCACAGACTTTGGCCATGCTCTTAGGAGAGACCATGCAGCAGTAACATAGTTTCCTGTCAACTTGATAAATAGAGTGAAGGGGTGGAGTGTAGCCTATCTATCAGGCCACAGCCTGGTGATCCCTTTGTGTGTGTGGCCTTCTCATGAGGATTCTGGGGCTTCCTCGCTTCCTCCCTGTAGGTGGGACACTCTCTGCTTCACATTCTTGTTGACTAGCCTCATGGAGCTATGCTGATGGCAGCCAGAGCCCGGGAGCTAGGGGAGCCATGTGGAGACCCATGCCAGCATCGAGATGCTTCCGCTGCCACTGGATCCACAAGACTTTCCACCCATTGGCCTGTGATCTTTCTGCATTTGACATCATTGCATGTGTTGCAGGAGTCTGAAGAGGAATTTATGGACTGGTAACAGACCTATGGACTAATTAAGGCTTGATCTAAACTTGGCTGAGATGTTTTCTTAATACACAATCACTCATTGCTATAAAGCTCTTTCTTATACATACATGAGTGTCCCTGGATTTGTTTCTCTAGTCTATCTGGACTAATACAGATCATGTCCCTGGAGAAGGATATCATGATTGGTGAAGTGTAGGGCCATCGAAAAGAGGAAGAGGCCCAGTGAGATGGATGGACACCGTGGCTGCACCAATGGGTTCAAGTGTAACACGTGTGACAATGGACAGGATCAGGCAGTCTTTCCTTCTGTCGTCCATCAGGTCGCCATGCGGCAGAAGTGACTGGATGGCACCTAACAACAGCTGCATCAGTTACACCCATGGAATTTGTGGCAGTGTTTTAAGAACACCATTTCATTGTGATCCTTACAATAACACCAGGAGGCAGGACAGTTATTAAACTCGCTTTCCAGAAGAGAAAATTAACTCAGGCTTCAGTGACTTGCCTAAGGTCACGCAGCTTGAAGAGCGCAGATCGTTCCGAGGAATCCGCAGTGCCTTGTAGCTCAGCATTAGCTCCCGATCCCCATAAAATCCCAGCACCCCTAAGCCCAGCTGTCTGCATTCCAGATGAATGCACTAGCGGACTCCAGGAGCAATGCATTCCAGCCAGCATGGATTCAGATGCAGACACAGCAATCTAGAGCCACACAGTAACCCTTTCTGTGCCATGCAGGTAGTTCTCATCGATGTCATGAGAAGTCGGGAGAAAGATGGGGCTTTCTACTTCCAGGAAGAGTTATAGCGTCAGAACCCCCTAGAGGCAGTTCTACCCTGTTCTACAGGGTGCTTAGGAGCCAGTGTTTGTTTGTTCTGATTTGTTGGCCAGGACCTACTAGATTGACTTCATGATTCACGCAGGGTGGTGAGCCATCGTTTGGAAAAAATCACTATTCCAGAAGACCAGATTACAAAGGTTCATATATTGTGTTGCTTGTTTTGTTTTTGTATGACTAACTGGAGAGTTTTCTCTATTTGGTTTGTTTTTAAATAAAATCTGAAAGCATTCACCTATTATTTAAGGTAGAGGCATACAAATATTCCGTGAATACAATATTCATTCTTCACCCAGACAGCTTCTTGCTTTGGAATGGACAGCAGTACTTTCCACTTGTCTTTGCCAAACTCCTCACTTGCTCTCTCCACCCCACCCCACCCCCGACTGAGGGCGGGCCATCCTCTGGAGGGATTGCACCTGGAATGGGCATGTGACTCAAGCTAGCCAATCAGCTGCTTCCATTATTGTGACCACCCTTGGAGAAGAGGCAACCCCAGATGATGCCAGGAGCCCTGGGTGGTGCAATGATGAAGCAATTGGCTGCTAACTGGAAGGTTGGTGGTTTGGTTTTGGGTGGTGATTGGGTTAACAAGAGTGGCTGCTGTGAGGTTTTATGTCAACTTGGCTGGGGCAGGATTCTCCCAGGATTTTTCCAGCTAACAACTAGTAATCCTCTAAGGACAGGACTAACAATATAATCAAAGCCAATCAGTTGCAAGAAGATTAGGGTAGGATGCTACATCCTTACTGAGGCCCCAGCCTGATGCAATCAACTGAAAGACATTTTCCTGATGGATGTGGCTTGTTTCCAATGTATGTGGACACTGGGAAAGCTTGCTTGATTTTTGCTGGGTCAGAATACTGCAACTGGCTCATTAACCTCCAGTTCTTTGGACTTGAGTCAACAGCCTACCATATTGCCTGCCAATGTTGGGAATCATCAGATTTACCAATCTTACATTCATTTGCCTTTGCAGGCACCAGCCTGTGGTCTTCCTGTTAATCTTCGGTTCATTAGCTCCCCACCTCAGGTAGCTACTTGAATCATAAGTCTCTAGCCTAATATATGACCCATGGACTTGGAATTTCTCTCTCTCTATATATACACACACATACAAGCATCACTGGTTTTGCTTCACCAGTGGACCCAGCTTAAGACAACTGGTAGCCAAAAAGTTGAATTGAGCCCACCCAGAGGCATCTCAGAAGAAAAGCCTAGTGATCTACTTCCATTAATCGGCCATTAGACACTCAATGGGGCAGCTCTACTCTGACACACATGGGGTCATGATGAACCAGGGTCAACTCCATGCTAACTTTTTTAATTGGGAAAGTTTTTGTTTTGTTTTATGAATGATGAGCATGAAAGAGGTAGGATCCTGGAATGGTGGACCAATTTTAGTGTCTAGGTCAGCGGTTCTCAACCTATGGGTCACGACCCCTTTGGGGGTCGAATGACCCTTTCACAGGGATTGCCTGATTCATAACAGTACCAAAAGGAAGGTTGTGAACCACTGCTCTAGGTGCAGAGAGCTTGCCCACAGGACCAAAAGCCCTGCTGAGACCTGGAGATGGTCTAGTGGAGCCCATGGGCTTTGGAAGCCAGCACGCTCGCCGGACTTTCATTACATTAAGTCCTCTTTTAAGGCTTTTACAAAAATAAATCTAGCTTCAATCATTGTAAAAGAACCCTAATGTATTATTTCAAAAAATTGATAAAACATTATTGCATCAAAATGCTTACAGAGGCCTTGATATGGTGGTCAGCTTCGGGCGGTCATAATGTTATGTGAAAATACCTGCGTTAACAGCTACCCAAACCAAATACAGGGTCACCTTCCATGTCCTCAGAGCCAGAAAGGGACGAGCTGACAGGCTGTTCGGACAAACAGAGCCCTACTGCGCTTGTTTACTGCTCAGTCATGTGATGGGAAGCCCTAGCTTCTCCTCCTCTCCAATAGCACGAGGATGGCAACGCCTGCCTCACAGTATGGTGTTACCTACGGCAACAAGTGACCTACAGTCAATGCTTTAGGGACATTTTGTTTGTAATGCGCTTTCTTTCTGGGCTTCTCTTTCTTCGCATGTATAAGAGGAGAATGGTCCAGATCCTTCCAGCTCTTAATAATATCGCCAGGGCTCTTGGAAAACCTCGCTATCAAGGGCACAGGAGAAGCAGAATGCAGTCCATGAATGATAAACATGTGTTGACTCCAGGAGCATTTCTTGCAGGCTTGATGATCGGAAAGTGTAATTTATACCTATTAACTGGACTCTGCTTTGAGTCGGATTTGCTTGGCACCCTGTAAAAGTTAGAATAGACAGATCGTACCCCAACTTGCAATGACTCGGTTCCCATGTTTGCTCACTGGGGTTCCTGTGTTTGAAATTTCCTGACACCCCATTTTCTGGGCTCCCCTCACCCCATCTCTGCTGCCTCTTCTGACACTTGACCTCCCTCCTTCCCTGTGTTTTGGGGGAAGCAGGAATGGTTCCGTCAGAGAATTTACAGAACACACTCAATGCTGCCACGTTTTCAGCCCTGGATACTCAGGCTTGAAAGGAACCTGCTGGGCTGCCTCTTGGGTCTTGTTTTAATTATTCAACGGCTCCTCCCCGGGTGCCAGCCCGGCGCTTGTTTTAATCTCAGGTGTATTGCGTTGCTCCTAGTTCTGAAATGACAACTAAGATTTACTAACATGGGCAAACGTGTCCCCTTATTGGTATGGGTCCTAGCTCGAGGCCTCCCTAGCTGCCTGGTTCCTCACAGGAGTGCAGCAAGATGTGAAGGAAGCTATACTGCCTGGGTTCAAATCCCCGCGCTGCTTGCCAGCTGTGTGACGTCGGACAATCTGGCCTTCGTGTCTCATCTGTCCATGGGTAAAATGAAGTCTTTTTAACTCGGTAGGGTTGACAGCTCCCTGCCTAACTGATTCCTTGCTGGGTATTGCTGATTTCAACTCCGTCTCCCGTGGGGACAGGAGACACCTGCCCCTCGGGGTCTCCTAAGCTGGAATATTTTGGGGAAATGAGTGCAGCCCGCTGCTCCGTGAAGCCATGCTGGTGAGGCTGTCTCCCGTACTGTGGACATGTCACCAGGAGGAGCCAGTCCCTGGAGAGGGCCGGCATGCGTGGGAAGATGGGTGAACACAGCGGCTGGAGTGGGCTCAGCTATGAGTCTTGAGTCCTGTACACAGGAGGTGTGTGTGTGTGTGTGTGTGGGGGGGGGTAGCACTGGGTCAGAACCAGCTCAATGGTGCTTCATGGCACTCTCCCCTCGGGCAGGTCACCAGCCCGGTCTCCTGGCCAAACTGCTAACCTTGTGAGTAGTAGCTAAGAGCTTAGGGGTGCACTGCCAGGGCTCCTTCAGGGATGCCTGCGGTCACTTAAGCCTAAAAGCTCATGCATCCAGAATGAACTCGAGTCTGGTGTAAACAGTCTCATTTAGACCTTGGGTTGAGTGCCCATCGCAATCACAGGGCATGGGGTGCAATTTCTAGAAAATAAGACCCAACTTGTTGTGAGCCACCCTGAAGCCCACTGGCTGTGCATGCGGCCCAAACCGGTCCAGAGGCGATGCGGCATTCCCGTGCCGTGACAGGGCAGGCGGGCTGAGTAGAGGGCCCAGTGGGAAGTCAGCTGGCAGCTCTTGGCAGAGGGAAGGAGGGAGGCTTCTGGGTCTGGGGGAAACTATCACTGAGTATCAGGAGCCGCACTTCCCCGGAACTGAACGATGCCTCCTGGTGGCACGTGAGCAGGCACTGTCCCCGTGGGAAGGCCAGCGGGCAGAACTGCTGGCTTTGTGTGTTCGCAAATGCTTCCGTTTCTTCTCAGGGCACTTACTCCCCATGTGGCATCCTGGGCCCAGAAAGCAGAGAGTACTGGCCCCTCCGGGCCTGCCTGGCTCAGCTGGCCTGCCCCGACTAGCATGGAGCAGGCAAGGGGTCTCTCTGGTGGAAGCAGGGGAAGGGGAAGTCTCTGGTCTCTTCTGAAGCACCCCCTCTACCCCACCTCTGAGTCCCCAAGTACCCTGGGAAATCCTGGGGACCTGAGGAAACGTGTAAAAAACAATTCAAAAATGCCTTTCAGTATTAACACCGAGCTCTCCTCTACGTGGTAAGACCAAGAGGCTGGTAACAAACCATGACTCTCGGTGGAAGACAGCCGTCCGCCGTGACCCAGGCCGGTGTGTGACCAGGAGAGGCCCCGACATACTTGTGAACTGAGGGCTCGGAATGAGACCGCTTTTCCGGGTTTCTTCCAGGTCAAACCCCTGTGTGCTTTTGTATGATCCCAAGCCGTGTCTGGAAACTGCTCGGGTTGGAAGCAGCACCCACAGGCCTTGGGGCAGAAGTGAGGACATGGCAGGTGTTCTGGTCCCATGGGGCCAGAGGCATGGGAAGCTGAGGCTGCAGAGTGGCCCGGGTCCCATGGAGGGGAACCAGGTCGAGGGGGTGATGAACCACGGCCGCCCCAGCCACCCCACACAGGAGCACCTGCCCCGCACACCTTTCCCGATTGGGCGGGGTGTGTGGTGCGCATGGCCCAGCTCACATTGTCATCGGTTCTATTCTAAGGAGAGAATTCCCTATCGAAATTTTTTTTGACATTGTGAAGTTTAATTCCTTTTACTCTGAAGCATACAAAAGGGAGTTAAGAAAATATCATATCCTATTCTTCCAGTGAGAATGCTACCGACCCATCTCCACGCCGTGAGGGCGGCCTTTGCCAAGGACGTCTGAGGGGAGCTGTCCAGGGCGGTGAACGTCCGGGGCTGCGCATCCCATCGTGCATGTGGCTCCTCGGCGCTTACGAGGCTCTCAGGAGGGAACCCACATGTTCCCGTGGGTGTCTGGGGCTTTGACGTAAGGGATGTTCCAAATCCACGGCCGATCTGGGGGGG